GTTCAGATGGAGCTGCCATGGTGGCAGAGGTTCCAACGTCTGTCAGCAGAATTTTGTGACTGAGACCCCGCTTTGCGCCAGACTGGGTCCAAAGTAGAATTCTTCCCTCCAGGATTGTCTGGGGCCAGTTCTCCTTAGTAGTTGCAGTACGAGTGGCTTTTGTAGCAGTTGTAATAGTGATCGAATCATACTTGTAACCAGCTACACTTTCAGCGTGACTTCTATGAGCCAGGCCTTACTCTTGACACGAGAGAAAGAGTTCTTTCGGTTGCAAACTGAAAAGATGAGAGAAAAACTGACTTTGGGGAGTTTAAAAAATAGCGGTAAGTAGAGATGCTTTCTATGCCTATCAAGGAATGAATGCCTTTTCCCAGCTCTGCTCCAGCCAGCCCCACAAAGGGCCACATCCAGCAGACCCCACCGGCCTCCACCCCTTTCTGCTCTGTCCTGCTCTTTGGGGAGCCCCCTTCAGCAGCGTGGGCCAGAAAGTGGATGAAAATGCAGGTATTTTTACAGGGAAACATTTGCATCTGTGCATTAATCTACCCTGCCAAGTTCACAGACTCTTTCACCTACTTTATCTCATTCAATGCCCTGAAGAACATTTATGTCACATTTTGCAGGTGAGAAAATTGAGGCAGAAGGTAATTGCCTCACCTAAAGTTACACAACTAGTTAGCAAGAACCTTAACCCCAGGCTTCTGGCTCCAAGTTCGGGAGCCTTCCAGTAAGCACATGCTTACTTTCATTCAAATGCCAGGTCAATTTGTATATCCTGACACACAGCAATAAAATAAAGCTGGGCCTAAAGAGAGAAAATAATTTAAAGCGGCTAAGAGAAAATTCACTCCTCTTGTGAAAACCTATCCAGATGACAAGCTGCTTTGGAACAACATAAAAAATGAAGAGTGGGGTGTTTCTCACAGTGTTTTTCTCCAGAAAGTTCTCTAAATGTGCTTTGTTTCCTTGTTCTCCAGAAATGTGCTGACCAATCACCTTGCAGTTGCCAAGGCAGTTGTAATTTCCATTAAGCATATCCCTTTCCATAAAACGACTCGGTAAATGCTTTAATTGTGTACTTTTCAAGTTAATACATCTTGAACATCAGAACTGACCATTTTTCCTGACTCTTGCTTCATAACTACAATGAATTCCATTCCTCTTCTCAGGTTTCTATCGGGGAAAATAAAGGACAAAGCAATCAAATGAGCCCAAATACCCCAGTTTAGTTTCTTAACCACAAAGTGCCACAAGCATCTCCCTGATCCCTGCACACAGCCCTGGCTACAGTGTCTTTCTGAAGTATTAACAAGCTCAGAGCACTGAGAGCAAACGGACACTGCAGGAAAGCAGCTGCGCACGGAGGCCTTTGCAGGGTCAGAGGCTCCCAACACGCAGAGGCACAGATGCTAGCTGGGCGTCCGCGCTGTCTACACTGGGAAGCGGGCCCTAGGAGGTGAGGGAGAGACCGTTCCCGCAGGCACCCCTCCCACCGGCTCAGACTTACTGGGGAGCAGCTGGCTCCCTTCTTCACGGCCAATGCCATTACCAGCAGCTCTGCCCAGGAGGCACCTTGGGCACTCACAGGTAAGTGGGAGTTGGAGACCCTGGCAGCTCCAGCATTGCTCCGCTCACACCCTAGCAGGCTGTCTGCCACGCACCCCGGCACTGCTGAGCCCACCGCTCTCAGGGAGGGTCAAGGACAGCGTCCAGGGCAGCGTCCAGGGCAGGGCAGTCCTCTTAGTCAGCCCAGGCTGCTATAACAAAATACCATAGACTCGTGGGAAATACAGGGGATGCTGGCAGTTTTAGAAGAGGAAAGGGAGAAAGGCTGAACCCAGAGCACCACGAGGAAGAAGCAGAGAGAAGGGGGGGCATGGAGACTTCTCCCAAAAACAGGAAGAAAAACCAGAACTCCTCACGCATCAGGTGCCCCACCATGGGACTCAAAGTGGGCCCAGCAAATGCATCTGCTCTTAACATTTTCCCATGGGATTTCTCATGAAGCTTCACTTAGCGATCTTTAAGAGGAATGAAATACAGTCCACTGGAAAAACACAAGGAGTAAGATTGAGGACAAAGTCAAGAATCAACGTCTTCAACACAGATTTCAGGACCCAGCAGGTGGGAGAAATCACGTATGTTACAGAGCCAGAGTGGCGTTTTTCCTCTACACTGCAGTTACTAGCACAGTAAATGTTAGTTTCTTTATGTTCCTTGGTTTCAGAAATTTCCAGCCTAACTCTCCCACCCCAGCTGCTCAAAAAACAGCTTCCAAATCAAGTTTTTAAAATAGTTGCTCTTCCAATAATTTAAGTTAAAATGCTAGGCGTTTGTCCTGGGTGTTCCCAGATGGCTGGTGCCAAACATGGGGGCAGACCCATGGGAAGCAAGCCTAGAGGACTTCTTGGAGGTGGCACATCTGTGAACTGCTTGCTACTCACTTCCTGTGAGGAGATGAGAACTGAGAGGAGGGTTAGAAACATTTGTGGCCACTTGACATCATCCACACCTCGTGGAACAGTTCAGGCATCATGCGGTCATAGCATGTGGCCTGAGCTGCCTACAATTTTTGTGCAGTTAAGATTTGTCACCTGTAATCCAACAGGGCATAAAATCTGGAATCATTTCATCAAAAGATCATTTTAACTGTAATTTATTAAGATAAATTGTGAAAATTGACTTCTGATGAGGGTTTATAAATGAATAAAGCACTTACTTGCTTTAATTTGGATAAAACTTTAAAAGGAATAAACCGTGCTTGCTGAGCTCACTTTATAATCTCTTTGAGTCCCGTCCACACAGCACTGAGCGTGTTTTGTCTACTATGCATGTTACTAAAACAAAACATAGAAATATTTAGGGAGACATTTTCCCCTACAAATAAGGTGGTTGTTTAATCAGATAAGCAAGAAACAATCTCACTTGTCACACTGAAAATATTAAATACAGATACAGTGTTTGTTTATTGTATTATATAAAAGTATTATTTTGCAAGGGTTTGAAAATTGAAAAAACAAAAACAAAAACTGAACTTCACCACAGTCTAAGAGATACTGCCATAGAGGGAATTCTCCAGGCAGGATGGGAAAGGGGTGTGGTGTGTGTCTGTGTGTGTTTGTGTGTGAGATGGGTGGTCAGACGCAGGGGAAGGAATAAACTGCAATTTTCAGCAATAAAAACACTGTTGTGTTGGGTAATTACATATTGCACAGCCTCCGTGACAAACAAACATTTGTTTCCATTCTGGTTGAAGTGAAAAGAAACCTTTTCCCTCTGCTGCCTGGGCAGTTAGCTCAAGGTCCAAGGAAGGGCTGTAACCCCAGGGCAACCACAGGAGACCCATGTGCCCTCACAATGCAAAAGCCGACTGTTTTGAGGGCACAGACCGCCATCTATTTCTCACTGTCTTCGTGGGAACCTTTGGCTCAGAAAGAGAACCTACTCCGAGGGCCCCGAGGCTCATTAAGACCCTCACCACTGCAGACACAGCCTCGAATAGCACAGCTCAGGTGCAACAAGCCTCCGCTAGGAACACCGCAGCCAATTCTTTTTTTTTTAGAATCTACTAATCCAGGGCCTGTGCTCAAACTTTAGTTTTAATTTACTTCTGCCACAAAAGTGACAGAGGTGGATTTTTACTGCCTGCTAGGCAGAGTGGGTCGTTCATATATTTGATGAGGAGGCCGTTGATGAAATTCAGTCATGTGGAAAATGCCAGTGGTGATGGGGGAGGGGAGGGGTCCTTCCAACCAGAGTGTGGGGAGTCACAGAACTGCGGGGCCTTAGACTACAACCCCCAACACGTCCTTCCTCAGGGTGACTGGAGATGCAGCCGAACCAGCATACATAGGCAATTGCTCTTTGTCTGCATCAGAAGGGGTTTGGGCAAGGAAAAGAGAAATACTTGGAATTTGTCAATTTGTGATATTTTAAAACTTCAGATTAATTTGTCTTCTCCTGTTTGTAAACCATCAACAGAATCCCTAATCCTCTCTTGGCGTCTTTCTGGGTTTACCTTGAGGGTGGCCTGTGGTGGTTTGCTGAGCTCTCACCCTCCCCAGATGTGGACTAGGGCTGTGTCCCCCCCAAGGTGGACAGACCTCTAGCCGGCTCCACGTGCCCGACCCGGGGAGTGACCAGCATGCGGTTTCCTCCCGCTTGCTCTCTTGCAGCAGAGCGGCAGCATCGGGAACCCCCTGGAACCAATTCTGCCAACAGGTGACATGGGGCCTGCGGCCTGGTCTTCACTGGAGCGGCAGAGAGGCGCCGGGTCACAGACAGGCACTGGGCACAGGCCACCTGGCCCTGGCTCTGCCTTGAATTCACCAAGCCTGCAACCCCTGCTCCCAGGGAGGATGTACTGTGATGAGAGATGAAGTGCTCCCTAAAAGAGATGTTACAATCCGTAAAATCCATTCATTCCTCAAAATGAAAAACACTGTAAACTGTGCTTTCACACCCTCGCCAGTACAAACTACAGTTCCCAGAGATAAGACTTGGGTTTTTTATTGTTTTCAATTCCAAAAGCAAGATGACTCTTCTTTGCTAGCGAGGCCCACGGTGCCAGTGGCTACGCCAGAGAAGGCACCTTCCCCGCCCGGAGGCGCACAGGGCCCACACCCTCACCCGCTCACACACGCGCGCACACATGTCCACACACCTGCGCAACTTTCACGGCCACGTGCGCACTCACCCTGCGCATGCGCCCGTGCGCGCACGCAGGTGCACTCTGTGACGTGGTGACGTCTGCAGGCCCCTGGCGGGGCTCTTACTCCACCACAGCAGAGCCTCCTTCCGAGAACACAGCGCCGGACCCCCTCCCTCGTGTCACTTCGAAGGGGTGACGGGCGAGGCCCGGAGGCTTCCTCAAAGCAGAGCAGAGGGAGGAGGCGGCTGAGGGACGAACAGCGCCGGGCGGCCCCCTCCGCACACAGTAAGCGTCCCCGAGGCCCTTGTCCGCGCCGCGGACGCGCTCCCTCACCGCGCGGGGGCCGCGGCTACTCGTCCTCCCGCAGCTCCCGCAGCGCGGCCTGGAGGAGGCGCCGCAGCTTCGCGAGCACGCGGGGCGCCGCGCCCTGAGCCCCCGGGGCCGCGCACTCGAGCACCGCCGCTCGCAGCTGCCGCCGCAGCGGGGCCGAGACGGCGGGGCTGCCGCGGGGCGAGGAGAACCAGTGGCGGAGGATCTTGTCGCAGACGACCTGGGGGAGGGCGGGAGGGGGCGGTCAGCTCAGGCCCGGGGGCCTCCTGGAAGGGCCTTTCCCGGACCCTAACCCGCCCAGCGGGGAAAAGGCCACCCCGCGTGTGGTGGAAATGCCGCGGGGGAAGCTCCGGGTGACACTCAGAAAGGTCTGAGGACACTGCAGCAGAAAGTCACAGGCGGGAGCTGCTGCATAAGGAGTGGGCCCTGGGCAGGCCCAAGGCTGCCAGCCCCGCCGTCACCGCACCCCTGAGGGCGCACTTGCTTATCCATAGGTTGGTCACGGTGACAGTCATCGCCACCTGGCAGGGTTGTCCTGAGGGCCCCAGGACACGCTGGTGACGAGGGGTATGCAAACGTGATAGTACTTTGAGGCTCACTGAAAAAAAGGTATATTGGAAGGGAAAGGCTGCAGACTCTTTTTGAGGAGGCTTTGAGATGTTTTATTTTAGAAGTAAAAATTAAGCCACTATCTCACAGCCTTTAGTTCTCCTTGGGTATGAAATTCACTGAGGCTGAAGATCTCTTTAAATTCTCCATTTAAACACACTGTCTGTTTTACAGCCTTCATGGTTTCCTCCCTGTTGGATGGAGCGCTGCATAATTAATATTCTGCTCCATGTTCCTATGTCACACTTTATATTAGACTCAGTTAACAAATGCCTCAATTTTATAGAGCTACTGTTTCTATAATTTTGACTTGTGTTTCCCAACCTCTGCAAGACTGAGGATTCTGTTTAAAAACAAATTATCTTATTTCTCTTTTGAGTTGATAATACATTTTCAGGGGCAAACATGGAAAATGTCCCAAAAGATAGGCTGTAATCTTAAGTCTCCATCCCACTCCTCCTAACCAGACACTCGGCTCCTGGCTCTGAGAGGCAACCACTCCCTTGAATGTCCTTCTGGAGAGTCTATAAATATACATGCATTTCCTTTTTCTTTTATTTTACACGGATGGGAGTACATTGCACACACTGTTCTGTAGCTTCCGTTCCCATTTAACGAAATATCAGGGAGAGCCTTCCAAATCAGTCCTTATAAGGATATTCCATTTGTTTTAATGGCTGTACCTCAAATGCATATCATAAATTATTTAGCTAGTTCCTTATTGATGGACATTTAGGTTGTTCACTAACTTTTGCTATTATGAAAAATGCTTCAGTACATATCTTGCAGACATCTTTTTCATTTTGCATATGACTAAATTTCTGGAAATGAAATTTCTGGGCCAAGGGGTATGCATATTTTTTGTTTTGATAGATATTGCCAGATTGACCCCATAAAAGTTGTACCGAGTTACACTGTCATAGCAGCGTATGACAAGAATGCCCTCAACAACACGTGTCATCTTTCTTTTTTGTTAACTGATGAATGAAAATGGTTTAATTTGTATTGCTCTTCTTATCAGTCAGGTTGAAAGTATCTGTGCTTCCTTTCCAGTGAGTGGTCAAGGTGATGTTCTTTGCCCACATTTCCATCAGATTGTTAACTTTTTTCATATTGATATGTAAATGCTCTTTATATATTAAGAACATTAACCCCCTGCTTAGATTGTCTTCCTGGGGAGCAGACTGTAAGGTGGAGATTTGCATGCAGGGATTTATTGAGGGGCGTTCTCAGGAACCATCTTTCCATGGAACTTAGGGAGAAGGAAAACTTCTGGTACTGGAATGGCCTACAGAGTTTTCCTTATAGAGGCCAGGGGGCTAGGCTTTGCATTTCCCCCCTCCCCACTGACCAATCACTAGACGCTGCCCCTGGGATGTGGGGTTACCGTGAGCCAAGGACGATGCTGGGGGATGCCGTGAGTCTCAGCAGCTCTGAGTCTCAGACAGATAAGGGCTGTCTCTGTCCTCTATGCTCCTCATCTGTAAGAGCAGTTGCAAATATTTTGCTAATTTTCTCATTTAACCTTTAAATTTGCTCATATTTTTTGTAACTTTGTTTTGTTTTTGCCATGTGGATTTTTTTTTTAATGGTTAAATGTGTCAGTTGTTCCTCTTATAGCCTCTGAACTTTGTTCTGCACTCAGAAGGGCCTTCCGAACTCTAGGGTGGTACTTTAAATTCTCCCAGTTTTCTTCTGGAACATTCAGGATTCCATTTTTTAGCTGTAAGTATTTGAGCTGTCTGAAGTTTAGTTTGATATAAGGAGTAGACCAGGAGTTAATGTGATCATTTGTTGTTCCTGAATACCCACTTTACCAGCACCACTCACTGTATAACCCAGCTTCCCTATCACTGGCCTGAGAGGCTGCCTTTATAACATACTAAACACCCATATGTCATTAGGTATACTTCTTCAGTTTTTAAAAATTCTATTCCTTTGATCTGTCAATCAACTGATGCAGGGCAGGGATTTTTTTTTTGTTTTTTTTTGAGTAAAAGTGTAAGTTAGAAAAGTAATACATACCACCGTAGAAAATTTATAAAATATAGGGCAAAAGGAAGAAAATAAAAATCTGTAATCCTATCATCCGTAAGTAATTGCTTTTGACGTTTTCATATCTTTTTCCCCAATCACGTACTACTTAACGAAAATGAGATCATGGGTAAATACTGATTTGTAACCTGCATTTTTTTCGCTTAATGAATGCTTCATATTTTCTCATATCCTTAAAGGAAGCGAAATTTCGTTTCTAGGTCTTTATTCAAAGGCAATAATCAGAAAAGGTGCACAAATGAAATTGCTCAGCTAAAGAGAGTATTTCCAACAGTCATGCACCCTCCAGAGGGATGTAGAATTTTACAATCACGTTAACAATATAGACTCTTACCTATATTTCTCTGAAGCCTCACCTGTTGATTAATAGCATTGTAACAACTATTCCCAATAGTTAAAAGTAAAAAATTATTATCGCTGGGTTTTAACTTGCATGTCTTTGAATAGTAAGATTAAATATTTGCCAGGTTCTCTGTCGGTCTGCACTTCAGCTCCCGTGTATCTGTCATATGTTCTTCTCTTGCCAGTTTTGTGTGTGTGTACCTCTCACTGCTTAACGGCTCTGTAAGAGCCGTTTATATATTAAGGATACAACCCTAGTCTCCAGTATGCTGCAGAGGGCAGGTGTTAGTGTTTCCACGTTGTGGTTTGAGGTCACAGGGTGGTTGATGCTCTAGTGAAAGCATATTGTTCCCACATCTGGAGAAGAATGATTGCGCTGCAGACCCACCGAGGGTGTGAGTCCACGTTAAGTTTAGAGGCTGCCAAGCCAGGGCCTTGTTCGGCCTGGTCCAGGACCGCCAGGTTAACTACACAACTGTCCAGGTCTCCCCAGGTCAGTCCTCTGTGCCGGCATGACTCAGCCCCAGGCTCTGGTCCCATCACCAGGTGTGCACTGGGGTTTTATTCGCCTTATGGGCTGGAGGATTGTACACAGACTCCACAGACTGCAGTGGAGGTGAGACTGCGGAGTGGACCGGCTAGGAGAATGAAACACTAGGAAGGCTGAGGCTAGAGCACAGATCAGCGGTGGTGGAGGTGCGCCCAGCTTCCCTGCTATGACCTCTTCCTGGTTGTGGTCAACACCTGTGGTCAACGCCGAGCTCATCCACACCCACCTGAGGGCCTGGAGTGAGGGCCGGGAACAGACAGCTTCTGCCAGAAGAGGGGAGATGTCTTCCCAGTGCAGGGGTCTCCAGCCCCACATCTGGGTCTCCCTCACTCTAGACTGGATCCGAGAGCTGGAAGCCAGGATGGGTTCCTACTTATCACTGGTCTCCTGGATGTGGGACCCATGCACTTTCTCCCTCTATTAACCACCTGCTGGCCTAACCCCTTGCCTGTTGGATCTGTGGTGTTGCCTACCCTCTCTGGTTTGGCCAGTTTTCAGGACTGCTTTGCCCTTTTTCTAGATTTATCCTTGGTGAATCAGTCTCTGTGTGCTCTTTCTGGGTGTGTGTGTGTGTGTGTGTGTGTGTGTGTGTGTGTGTGTGTGTGGATGGATGCGGATGCGGATGCAGAAATTAGACCCAGAGAGAAGGGCTACCCAAGTCCCCATGGCTCTGGGAGACCCAGTAAAGGCTGTGCTGGGAGCACCATCCATTAGCCCCATGGGGTCACTTGGCCGACAACCTCCGGGGTAGACGACTAAGAACAAATGATCCCTGTCTCCCACCATCCCTGCCGTTACTGGACACATCGAGCCCAGGTGACATGGCAAGGGTGATGACCTTCAGCTACATCACCGGGATGTCACAGTGTGGCAGGCAGAGGCACCCAGAGAGAACAGGGTCCCCACCCCCCGAGAGAGGACAGGGTTCCCCCCCGCAGAGAGGACAGGGTTCCCCCCTGCAGAGAGAACAGTGTCCCCCCCGCAGAGAGGACAGGGTCCTGCCCCCACCCCGGAGAGGACAGCAGCATTGCTCACCTGCAGGTTGCTGTTGGTTCTCTGGGCTCCACACCTGTGCACTCGCAAATCACACTTTGAAAAACAGTCAAAGAAATTGCAGTCTTCATCTCCCGTGCAGTTCTGCTCAAGAATTTCCCTCATTTTAGGTTCAAAAAAGGCCATGTCCACGTCAATAGCCACCACCTGTAATTGAAACAGCACACGCCTCTCAAGAGGACCCCCAAGGCCGCAGCACAGAGGGAGCCCTGCGGTATCACCCCACCCCTGTTCCCCTTTGCAGGTGCAAGTGTCACAGACTTCAGGGGTCACAGAAATCTGCCAGCAGGGAAGAGGAGCCAGGTTGTGCTGGGGACACACAAGCCACCGGCACAGATGGTGCGGCAAGGCTTTAACTGCAGAAAGGACCTTTGTGGTCACCAGTGCAAGCCTAGGATGTGGAACTAGTATCCCGTTTCATCTGTAAAAGTTTCCTCAGATTTAGAAGTTGAATCTGACACATCTTTAAAGTGAATTGATTTCCCCTTCTGTTGCCTTATCACTTTGGTTTCTGTCACTCAAGGCTCAGGAATACAAAAGCTGTGAGACACAGACAATCTATCCCTTTGAATATAAGCAACAAAAGAAAACTACATTCAAGGGACAGGTGGAGGATGTGATGGTGAGAGTGGGGTGGGCAGTACGTAGGTCGTCTGTTTATGCTGTCTGTTACCTGAGGTGACTGGTTTCCAGCTGCAGGGAGCTGGGGGAGTGCAGGGAGTGGCAAAGCCAAAGTTCTCAAATTAGGGTCGATACCTATGGACCCTGGTCCAGCAGCATCAAAAACTAAGTCCCACTATCAGCGTGAAAATGTGATGAGCCCCTGGAATTTCAGATTTATCTTCCTGGCGTCAACCCAAGTAGGTTTCAAAACCAGAAAAAGAATAATGTCTAAATTATGCAGATGTTCCTCCACCACCTGAATTAAAAAAAAAAGATGAGCTCAAACCTGAGAAAACCTGGACTCTGCCCAAAATCAAGCAGTGTATAGCTTCAAGGTACTAAAGAGCTCTTAGAAGACTCGATGAGGTTAATGGAGTCTGTGGCATTTCACAGATCACCCTCAAAATATCAGCCTTCTCCCTTTGGTAGCATCTCAAAAAGTGTTCATTTACATCTCAGTTCTCTGCAAAGTCAGGAGGCACATTCCCAGGTTGTTGTTTCTGTTTGTTCCTTCAAGATTGATGCCAGAATGCAGTAAAGCTTCTTGGGGATTATTCAGTAAAACAGAGGAGGGAAAAATACTTTATTTCAAAATATGTGGAGAATAATGAAAATAAAGAACAGGGAACTTTTCCCTATTTAACAGCCTTGTCTAATTACTAATCCAGGCTCTGCAAACAGAAATTATCATTTTAATCAATTTTTCCTATCTTATTATTCAGACAAAAGAAATAGCTCATTTCATTATTTATACTGGTTAGTACACTAAAAATATATGAGGCTGTGCTAATGAGTCTGTTGTCTTTCATAATTTATTTGGGGGGCTACAAGACACTTCTTTTGATAGTTCCTGGCCATCTCCCCAGCTTCCCCTGGGCCCCTGGTGGAATTTCAGCTCCCTGTTACTTCTGTCTTCCAGCTCTGATTGTTCCCTTTTCATCTCCCAGGAAGAGCCAGATTTATTTTTTAATTTTAGTGTATGCTGTAGAATGGATTACAGCTACTGGAAGCATAACTCTATGCACCTAAAATAAGAACAGTAACAAAATGAACAGAAAAACCTGCCTGAGGTTTCTTAGATAACGTCGGGAGAATCATAAAATTTTTCCTGCACAAAATTACCTAACTTGCATCATCTTCAGACATCGTCCTAGCATCAGACTAGCACGGATTGACGAGGATTATTTTGTTCTCCACTGAAAAGTGTGCCTCTAGAGCAGGAAACGTCATCTGTTTGAAAAGAGCACTTTCTGGCAACAGTTTGGGAGCAAGAAGTAAAGATGTTTTTCTAGTTCCTTTGCAACCGCTGGACAGATTCTCAAGATCTGCGAGGGGTGACCGGAGAAAGTGAATGACTGCGAGTCATCAATTCTTGACACGTTACCTGAAGGACAGCGCTCCTTCCCCACTGCAACACGGACCAAAGGGGGAACCCTCCTGCTGGTCCATCAGTTCGCTAGTTCTCACACTGAGTGTGCATCAGAATCACCTGGAGGGCTTGCTTTTAAAACACAGAGGGCCGCATCCCACCCCGGAGCCCCGGGCCTCCTGCCGCAGCTTGTCCTTCTCGGTCCGTTCTTTGTAGGCCTGCACTGCCTGGAGTGGGACATAAAATTCACCTGCCGCCTGCAGAGGCTGACGTGTCCACCCGGGCAGGATTCTCCCTTGTGTAAGGCACCAAAATGCCAGTTGTCCCTCTAGAAGTCTTACCCACAGAAGGGAAACTAGAACGTCTCCAGAGGAAAGTATTAGAAAAAGTTGCCCATCATCCTAGAGCATGGACAGCTTGAAAACAGTGTCCCCCTACTGAGCCTTTGTACAAAAGCCCCCAAAGGCCGTCCTCTCTCCTCATCCTCCGAGGCTCCTTGTCTCCTGAAGACTTTTCTGCATAATTTGCTTGCTTTCAAAATAGCCCTAAGAAGACGCGAAGTCGCTTTGGAGAAAACAGAGCAGCCCTTAAGGACGACAGACCGCGCCTCCCGCTGCGAGCGGCTATCCTCCCAGTTCGGCACCGGGCAGGCGCCTCTCTTCTTTAAATTCTCTCATTCCCACTCGGAAGGTTTGGCAGGTCGGAGTTGTCCTGGCTAGAAGGTTGCATAGCGCTGCAGGGTCTCCCCCGATTTCAGAAACCCCCTCGTTTAGGACCACCCGGACCCAAGTCTGCCCTCCACGGGCGAAACACAGACCGCAGCCACTCACCGTGAAGTCGCTCCTGATGGCAAAGTTCTCGGGCTTGACGTCGCAGAGGTGCAGGCGGTGCGAGAAGTCGTGCTCAAAGTGGCGGACCATGTCCAGGAAGCTGAGCGCCACGCCGCTGAGCGCGCGCGCCTGGGCCCGGCCTCCGCGGGCCGCGCCGTCCAGGGGGAAGAGGGCTCGGAGGCGGGGGCTGCCCGCGGCCAGGTGCTCCACGGCGTAGAAGTGGCCGCAGGAGCCCAGCACGGGCGGCGCGTGCGGGCTGCGGCCCCGCAGCAGGCTGAGCAGGACGAACTCCTCCTGCTGCAGCAGCGCCCACAGGCTGGCCAGCTGACCCCGCAGCCGGGGCCCCCGCCGCCCCAGGCCCAGCCGCCCCAGGCCGCCCTCGGCCAGCTCCAGGCCCAACGCGCTCTTGACCTCCCCGGCCGCCAGCAGGAGGAGCTCTGCCTCCGGGAAGCCCTGGCCGCCGGCCTCGGGCTGGCCTTCCAGGAGGCCGAGCGGCGGGAAGCTGGAGAAGGCTTCCTCCTTGGACTTAAGGACCACGGGCCGGCCGCGCCAGTCAGCCTGCAGCACCTTCTTGCCCCGTTCGTAGTACAGGCAGCGCCGGTACCGTAGCTGCCCTGCCACGCACAGGTCCTCGCACAGGTCTCCCCCGAGTGCGCCGCCACGGTAGTCCTGGCACTGGAAGGAAGGGGACAGTCGGTCACACGGCGGAGGGGCAGTGAATAGACCCAAGGCTGGTCCCCGCACCCAGCACGCTCCTAACAGCTGTGCAGACCATCTTCACCAGAGTGAACCACGAGGCTACTCGGGTCAGAGAGGAATTATGAAGTCAAAGGCTTGAGAGCTTCCCTGCTGGCGCAGTGCTTAAGCGTCCGCCTGCCAACGCAGGGGACACGGGTTCGAGCTCTGGTCTGGGAAGATCCCACGTGCCGCGGAGCAACTAAGCCCGTGCGCCACAACGACCGAGCCTGCACTCTAGAGTCCGTGATTACTGAAGCCCGTGAGCCGCAACTACTGAAGCCCGTGTGCCACAACTACTGAGCCCGCTTGCTGCAACTAGAGAAAGCCCGTGCACAGCAATGAAGACCCAATGCAGCCAAAATAAATAAATACATTTAAGTTAAAAAAAAAAAAAAGACTTGAAAGAGCGCCTCAAGTTTGTTCTGCATCCGGCCCAGGCCCAGGTCTTAGGAAGCAGGTCTCTGCCCTCCCCCACTTCCAGCTGAGGTGGGTGATGCTGGCAAAGGCCGTTGGCAGCTGCGTTCAGTTTCCTTGACTGTCAGTGAAAGGGCTGGGCCAGGCCCGTGGTTCCCAACTCTTGGCCTCACGTCAGGGTCACCCAGAGAGCTTTCAACCCCCGGTCACGTACAGGTCAGCCAGACCTTGGGAGGTGGGTCCCCGGCGACCCCAGGAATGGCCCTTCCTCTAGAACCTCTCCTTGCACCCATTGTGGTCGCTGGGAAGTGGTATGGCTATAAGGCCAGCAGGCTCTGGGGGACTGTGGGGTCTGGAGAGCCCACTGCAGGAAACAGGAGGCGGGAGAGGCCTGTGGCTGGCAGGGCAGGCACCGGGCACCTGCAGAAGAGGGGCCCTACAGGGTAAATTCCAGAAGCGGGGGGTGTTCGGCTCCTGGGGGTGGTGAGGAAGGCACTCAGGGACCCTGAAATGGGGAACTTCTCCTAAACATCAGGCTCTTAGGCCCTCCTGCCACATGGGGGACCTGGTGACCCCACCACGACACTGCAAGCATCCGTGCTAAAAATACAGTCCAGCCAGGCCCTGGCCTTCAGACCTGCTAGAGGGGTAGCAGGAGATGCCAGTGTGAAACCGATTGAAAGGGAGGATTATTATTCTGTTCTCTTTCTTTTTTATCTCTTTCAGGAAACCTAAACCTCTGGACCCACGTTTATTAGGGGTTGAGCCTATTTCCTGACTCCACCTGTTTCCCCCCAGATGCATCTTCCTCCCACGTGGGCAAAGGCAGGTCAGGTATGTAATTATACACTGGCCAGACTCTCTGGTTGTTCTGTGCTGCTCGGCTTTATTAACCCCAAGTAGATTATATACAGCTCCTTCAAGTCGGAAAATATACCTCCAATGCTTGGATATGTGAATAATCCCCAAATCCAAAAAGCTCTGAAAACTACAAGTTTTTCCATGACTTATTCGCCCTCATGGAGTGTCAAATCCGACTGAAAAGATGAGAGCCTATTTATGGTCTGAATGTATTTGACCTGTGACTTTGCATATACTTTGCTGCAGAGTTATTAATCAGCTGGATTTGTCTGATTACTGGTGCTGCCTCATATTGCAAAATAGAAGGTATATATATATGCTGCATATTATCTAACACCCAAAACAGTGTGAATTCTAAAATAGGCCTGGCCACAGAGCATTGGATAAGGGATTGTGGATCTTTATAAATACTCTCAGTGACTTGTTGAAAGCATATAACCAAAACGCTTTTAAAAAAGATATACTGGGCTTCCCTGGTGGAGCAGTGGTTGAGAGTCCTCCTGCTGATGCAGGGGACACGGGTTCGTGCCCCGGTCCGGGAAGATCCCACATGCCGCGGAGCGGCTGGGCCCGTGAGCCATGGCCGCTGAGCCTGCGCGTCTGGAGCCTGTGCTCCACAACGGGAAAGGACACACCAGTGAGAGGCCCGCGTACCACCACCAAAAAAAAAAAAAAAAAAATACTCCCTGTTCTCAAAACAAGTATCTGGATTTCAGGGCCCGTTTCAGG